GTTAGTCTAGGTCATGCAGCACCTCCCCTCTCCTGGTGTCCTGATTTTCAGGAGGGGAGGAGAACATTCCTAACATGCAGGACGAGTCACTCTGGAGCTTCTTCAGCACTTGTTTTCACTCATCTGCTGTTGGTTTGGGAAAATTGTTGCATTTGACCCAGAGACTCAGCCTTTGTGATGATAAGATGGATAATGCCAGAGGGCCTGTAGCCCCTCACGTGCAGGAGGATGTAGCCAAAGGATGTGGCCACCCCTTCCTGGCTTTGCAGGATTGCTACAGGTTACAGATGGGCTGTGGTGCATCAGCATCGCCTGGATCAGATCCAGATCCCAACCATTCTCCACTGTCTGGGTATTTATTTTTTTTTGCTGAAACAATTTGCACAGCACTAAAATTAATGACTGAAAATGTGAGTTTGCTTGAAAATAATCTATCATTTGATTATCACTTTAATGCAGGCAGCCTGGGGAACATCTGCCTCTGCCAGTCTGTGTCTCCTCCTGCCGATGCGGGGAATTGCTGGGAAGGGCTGTTGTGCTGCTTTGTAAACTGGAAGAAAGCCAAACCACTGGCAAATGACTTGGTGGTTGTTGTGACTGAGGAGGAGCGGAGTCCTGGACTGGATGAGGCATCAGGGTCCCCTCTTAAAACACCCACTGCCCAGCTCACTGCCTCTGGTCCCAGTTACTATGTGGTCCAGGGACTCACAAAGTAAAATGGTCATCTCCATCATGTGGAAAGTAATTCTGTCATCACCAGAAGAGTGAGGCTGGCTTTGCACTGGGGCAGCAGGCAGCAGCATCTGACCACTCCCGACTTTATCTTTGCCAGATCTCACCTCACGGGGGATGCAGGAGAGAAGAGAAATATGGGTGGGGAACTGCCCAGCGAGGCAGAATTGCCTCCATCCCATGACACAGACCATGTGCTGCGGTATAATGGGGTCTCCAGACCCTTTAGGCTTCTCTGCTGCTTTTTGGGAACATTACAGCCCTGGACTTTAAGGCTTTTTTTGGAAAATGTCACCAGCTTGTGATGAGTCAGAGTCCTGCTTCTCTGCAGCCTGCCCACTGCTTCGTGCGAGGCGTTGGGCTGTGCCGCGCCGGGGTCCCCGCGGGCATCTCACTGCTGTTGTTTGGACTTAAATCTTCTTGCTGAGAAAGGAGAGCCTTTTGTTGCCAGTGCCCATGCAGGAGGTCTGCCGGGGGCCCAGGCTGGCAGGGATGTGTTTGGCCAGCTGGTGCTTCAGGGACAGGCAGACACATTTGTGCTACAGCACCCCAGGGCAAGGGCTGCAGCTGGGATCTCTGGCCAAGGCATTTTCACTCCTCCAGTGATTCTCAGTGCCCAGCAGCAAAGCTTGTGCACCAAAATGACTTCCAGTTGAAGGGGAAAGAAAGTGGGTGGAAAGCCTGGGATTCCTACAGGTAGACCTCTGAAAGCTGGTCCATGTGACTGCATGTTTGCAAACATGTATGTGTGTGTGTCTGTATCCAGGTGTGATGGAAGGGATGCTATGGTTTCAAATGAACCAGAAAAGCCAGAGCTAAGGCTGCTGATAGACCATCCCCCCATGTGCCTTGAGGACAGAGATCTTATGTGATTTTTTAACTCTCTGACCTCTCCTAACCCTGTGTCTCCTGGCCTTGAGACCTGCTATCTGATATTTCCCTTGTAGCCTCACCATTCCTCACCTGGTCCACAAGTCACACAACAGTGAGGAGAGGGCCCCTTCCCTGGGGGTTTTCTTTGGACACCTTGCTCTGAGGGGGCAGGAGGCCCCTCCAGCCCTGGGGACCAACATCCCTTCCTAGGGACAGCGGCTGAGTGCAGCCTCACACGCAAACACACAGCTGGTGGCTTCCCAAGCCACCGGCGGGAGAGGCAGTGAGCCTGATTTCTCAGAATTCCTGCTGCTGGTGTAGCAAAAGATACATTTTGATCCCAACTCCTGGTGATTCCACATGCAGCCAGAAACTTCCACCTCTTCCAGTGATCAGCCAGCTGGCGTTCCACTCAGGCATCAGAGAAAGAAGGAACAGAGTTATTGACCTGGTGGGGAAAGTTTGGTTCAGGTGACTCTCAGTATCTCACAAAAGCATGGGGGCAGGAATAAAAAAAACTGTGTCCAGGGAAGCCATCAGCAAAATGAAATTACATTAGCACCTTTTTTTCTTCTGTCCTCTTACCCTCATCACTACTGTGACTCTTTTCACTGAATTATGTGGGGTCCTGCAGGCAGCACCTTCCTCTCCCCAGCCTCTGTGGGACATGCCAGGTGCTGAATGAAGCAGGCGCTTTGTGGGAAAAATACGCATCTAGTAATTGCTGTGGAAAAGTGTGTTGCAGTGCACAGACACAAAGGGATGAAAGGAGGCTGCGTTAACATCCTGACATTTCCTCATTTCTGAATTCTTGTCTCAGGCATCCCTAACGTCCTTTTATGGCAGCTTTTGCAGCCAGTTTCCTCAAACAAAGAAAAGGAAATGGGATTTCCAAAACACCCTGGGACAGTGCTGGGGGTGAGGGGCTCTGGCCAGTGCCCCGCAGCAAGGCCAGGGCCAACTCCCTGCACAGGAGCTGCTGGCTGAGGTGAGGAGGTGATGAGGCAGCACCTGAGACCCTGCCCGCTTGCCCCCCTGGCAGTGCCCACTCCCCCTTCCCCACACTGCAGCTCTGCAGAGCGAGGACCACCCAGCTGGGAGGGGACAAAGGAGAAGAGGTTCTGCACTGCCCCCTGAACTCCACCAAAGCACCCTGTCCTCCTCTGAAGGCCTCTGCAGTCCCAGCCTGTCTGTGCTGGAAATTTCAAGTTGTTCTGAAGGCAGCAAGTTAACAAGATTTGGAAACCAGGTCAGCGGAAGAAGCTCAATTAGTTTGCTGAACCGTGGGGACCAGCTCACATCGTGTCTGCCTTATTGACTCCTCAAATGGATGTTATTGATACGAGACACATGAGCCTGGCTGCAGTGGGGTCCTGTGCTCTTCACTCAAGAAGGGCACACCTGGACACTACCAGGGTAACTTCACAAAGGTCCCCAAATCAGCACTGTGGGACGGCTCAAGCCATCCCACTGAGCTGTATCATAGAATCATCATAGAATTATCAAATGGCCTGGGTTGGAAGGGACCTTACAGGTCATCTCATTCCAACCCCTCTGCCATGGGCAAGGACATCTTCCACTATCTCAGGTTACTCCAAGCCCCATCCAACCTGGCCTTGCACACTCACAGGGATGGGGCAGCCACAGCTTCTCAGGGCAACCTGTGCCAGTGCCTCACCACCCTCACAGGGAAGAATTTCTTACCAATAACTAATCTAAAACTACTCTTCCAGTTTGAAACCATTCCTCCTTGTCCTGTCACTACACGCTCTACCCTTCTTGTACCAGCAGCTCTGTTCCTCCTAGCCCTACAGGAACTTCCAGGCTCCCACCCCCACCGCTAGTCCTGCTCTTCCCAGCCACCTGACACCTCTGGGGAGGGGACAGCCAAAGGGGACAGGCAGCAGGGCTTGCAGAGAGCAGGCTGCGTCGCTGGCAGCACAGGCGTAGCTCATGCGACCAGCTACCTGTCTTGTCACGTCACCACGAACATCTGCTGCTGCAAATAAAACAGCAAGAGAAAGGGAAAGCAAAAGGCCCTCTCTGAGTGGCATTCCAGCCCCAGGAGCGGGAGAGATGCGGCGCCTGTCATGCTGCATGAAAAACCTCTTTCATTAGTGGCAAGGCTGTAGCTCACATCTTGGAATCACAGCACAGCTTCTCGGGGGCTCCACAGGCAGGCGGGCACAGCCCCATCCCCGCAGGCGCCTGGGGAGCAGCCTGGGTATGGCTTTACACTGATAGAGAGCATCTCACCGACAGAACAAGGAGCTGAGGGCTTTGAAGCCCTTCCAGGAATCCTGATGCCAGTGGAGAAGGCTGCTTGCTGATATCAAGAAAAAGCCCCCTCTCCATCCTGCAGCCATACAGACACCCACAGCTCCCTCTCTGGTCCTGGCGTGGGACAGACACTCAGGCTGCCAGGAGAGCCAGGGGTGCCAGCCTGGACAGCTGCAGGAGGGAACCTTCGCACTAGAGGAAATCTATACACTGTGTCCCTCTCACCCTGCCTCTGTCCTGGGACAGAATTTCTTGGATGCTCAGGCACTGCAGGGCCAAGATGGAGAGTGAGCAGTGTGGGGCCGGCAGCCGGTGTCACCCAGGGCGGCGTGGGAGCCCTGTGACATGGAGGGACCAGCCAGGGGGTTCAAGAGCTGCAGGCAGAGGCACAGGCAGAACCACAGGCAGTGCTGATGGCAGGCAGCGAGTAGGTTACCTGGCAGGGCAGCGGGCAGGTTTGAAAACAGGGCAACTTAAAGGGCAGGGCAGAGGGCAGGGCTGGACTGTGGGCAGGACAGAGCAGGGCAGGGCAGCACAGTGCAGCAGGCAGGACTGCGGGCAGGGCAGTGGGCAGGACTGCAGGAAGGGCAAGGCAGCAGGCAGGGCATCAAGCAGGGCATGGCAGAACAAGGCAAAACACAGCAGTGGGCAGGACTGCAGGCAGGACAGGGCAGGGCAGTGGACAGGGCAACAGGCAGGATTGCAGGCAGGGTAGCGGGCAGGGCATGGCAGACCAAGGCAAAACATGGCAGTGGGCAGGACTGCGGGCAGGACAGGGTAGGGCAGCGGACAGCGCAGGGCAGCGGGCAAGACTGCAGGCAGGACAGGCAGTGTCCGGCAGCGGGCAGGCGGTGCCGAGGCGGCGCGTCCCGCAGGCGACCCCGGGTCCGTATCCCGGTCCGTGTCCCGGTCCGTGTCCCGGCAGCCGCAGCCCCCGCAGTGCCCCGCGCCCCCGGCCCGATCGCGGCCGCGGGCGGTGCCGCCGGGGCGGGGCGGGGCGGTGCCGGCGCTGCGCGGCCCCGCCGCCGCTCCACACCCGCTATAAGCGGAGCGGCCGCGGCCGCGCTCCGCAGTGCATGGCCCAGCCTCGCCCGGCACCCGCGGCTCCGCCGGGGCTCCCACCCGGGCCGGTCCCGGGCGCCCCCTCCCTCCCCGCCGCGCCCCCGCCCCGCCGCCGGCAGCCGTGACCTTGCCATCCGCCAGCCTTGGGGACAGCCCTGGGGACAGCCGCGCTGGATCGGAGAGCCGCCGTGGGATGCGATAGCCGGCGGATCGCACGGAAATATTTCTCCTGGGAAGGAGAGCGGCAGCCTCCTCCCGCGGTCGGGGGCCGGCAAGAAAAGCGGATTTAAAGAGCATCTTTGCCCCTTTGTTGGATGAGAAGGACAGGGGAGGACCGGCAGGATGAGCACTAGCAGTGAGTACGGCTTCCTCTTGCCTTCGCTGTGGGAATGGGGCTGATACCGCACCGATCTGGCTGGGAGGAATTGGAAAGAAAATGTCCTAACAGCGTTGACAAGCCTAGTGGGATGGAATTTTGGTTTATTTTCCTGCCTGCGTTTTGCTTTCTGACAGGGTCTGGCTTTGCTGGCCTGTCTTTCATGTGGGCTGAGCCGTGGTGCTTATCTCCACTGAGTACTTTTCTTGGCTTGTATTTCTGGGGTTTGGAGGGCAGATCATCGACTAAAATGTCGATACGCAACATGGTGAGAGGGAGCCAGGAGCGCTCTGACAGGCAGCAGGCTCACTTGCTGCTGCCAGTGCCTGTGGATAAACGGACATGGGGGAAGGAGCCGATGCAGAGGAGGAGCTGGGTAAGGACGGACCCAGAAACCAGGGACCTGAGCAAAGCACAGGTGCAATACTGAAAAACATGAGCCTCCTGCAGCTGGGGATGTGGGTGTTTCTATTGTGCATGTGAGACAGGGACAGAGGCACTCATGCGCTGTGTATGAATTTCTAAAGAAGCAGAGCTTGGAAATGTGCTGTATAAGATGAGAACTGGCACCTGGTACTAGTCTGGTCACTTCTGGTTTTGTGTCCTTGTTGCAAAGTCTGGAAAGACTGATCAGGTTTGATCAAGTCACAATCAATTTCTTTTTCCCCACTGATGTGATGTGTGACAGCTGTACTCACCTCACTGGCACGGCTTTGATCCCTTCCTTTAAAAGCAGTGAGCCCACAGGCAAAGCAGTTGATGTTGATGGCTACCTGAGGGGCTTTGTCCTGGGATAACCTGTCCAGGGAAGCCCCCCCACTCCCTCCTGTGGGTCCTGGAGGCTGTCTGAAGAGAGGATCACTCCCCCAGGCAGAAAGCAGCAGAGCAGCAACTTCTCCATTGCACTGGCGTGTTGAGGTTTCTCAATCCGAGGGCTTGGGGTGGTTCCCAAGCAAAACACCGTGAAAAATGCCTTGGCACGCTGCAAGGCAACAGAACAGGTGATTCCAGCTCTGTTGGGCTGTGTCAGAGGCAAGAAAACTTTCCAGGTGCCCTCTGCACAAGCCACACCTGGGACAGAAGCAAGCCCCTTCCCGGGGAACCGGGGCTGGCGCTGCCCAGGTAGGAAACAATAGGGACTGATTCTTTCTGAGCCTGCAGGATGCCTGATAACAAAGGGTCCTCCCTCTGCTCCTCTGGGTGATGAGCTCAAGTCCTGTGCTGAGAGGGCAGTAGTGTCAGTGTCGTGACCACCATGGTCAGGTGGGACTGTTAAGCTTCCTCTAAGCCAATTTTGACAAATGCGTGTTGGTTCCTTTTGGGATTCCTTTCCAGCTCTTAATAGCTGGCTTAGCTGCTGATGGAGATAAGGGCTGTTTATGGCACTGGTGTGTTATAACTATCTGATTGTGCTGCAAAACTCCTTCAGCTGGGTCCTCCCACACACACAGCAAGATGCCAGGGAACTAAGCGTGCTGCCTGCCCGTTGCTCTGACGTGACTCACGGGAGGAGGCCACTGGGCAGGCAGCAAGCACAGAGCTGGGAGTCCCTTGGGAGCTGCTCCTCCTTCTGCTGCTGCCTTGCTCTGTGGCCTTGGGCACCTCACTCAGCCGTGCCTCAGCTTCTGGATTTGCCAGCAGCAGGCTGCTCCCGTGGCTCTTGCCCGGCCCTTTGGATGGCTTTGCAGTCTTTGCCTAAATATTGCCATTTCCTCGTTCTAAGTAGCCATGTATTTTAGTAAAGGCTTGGCAACTCCGTGACATCTGATCGCTTACTGTGCTGTGGGTTGATTATTTATGGATTACTCCTTGTCCCTTTGGGACCACACTAGGTAGAAGGGGTGTGCAAACCCTGCAAGGCGGTGGGCTCTGCCCTGTTAGGCTTCCAGACATTTTCCCAGTAGCTGAGGTTCTCAAAGCAGGGCTTGCCATACCCAAACACTGGCTCATCTCTGTTCTTAGCAATGGCACGATCTTCTCCCAGCTGGTTCTGTGAGCAAGGGTATGGGGCCACCTCCTCTGTCAGCATGTTCTGTGGCTGGTGTGAACGTTGCCAAAAGCTGTCTCTCCCCTCTTGCTGCTGCCTCACCGAGCTCTGCACATCCCTTCCCAGCCTGCATCCCTTAAATCTGTCTGTCCATGAGCAAAAAAAAAAAAAAAAAAAGCCCAGGATCGTTGTGTCAGTGTTCTCTGTGCCATCTCTGTTCCATGCCACTGATGTTCCCTGGCTCTGACCTGCCATAGTTTTTGTACCCCTTTGGTACATAAAGTGGCCAGTGGCTCAGAGGAGCTTGGTGCCACTTGTTGTCAGAGACTTGCCAGCCCTCCCAGGCACGGTGATCCACCAGCAGGCTCAGGGACACTCCAGCCTCCCCAGTCTGGTGTCCCTCTGGTGCGCAGGACCCTGCCTGTGCAGATGGGAGGAGAGAAGGAAACACTGGAAGAGGAGGAAGATGGATGATGAAGCCAGGCTGTGCACAGCCTGGTGATGTACAGATGTACCTGTGGCTGCAGCACTAAAATTTTGGGGCTGGCAAACTGATGAGATGCTGCAGCTGAGGATAAAATGCCACCATCTGATCTGTGAATTCCCACCCCTGCTTCCCATTTTGCTTGGTGCATTTTGATAACACTTCTCTCCTGTCTGAGGTTGATGTGAGGCAGGAAACCTGTGGCTGTGGGCCATGGCTGGCCTCAAGCCATGCTCTTGAGCAAAGCTATCTGTGAAGCCTCCAGGAGCCCTGGGCAGGATTTGCTGGGCTACAGGTGCATCTCTGGAGATGTTCCATGCAGAGCACACTTGCTGGATGGACAGAGGTTTGCTTTTCACCTTGGTGTGGGGCCCAGGGTTGGAGGCCCCATGTCATCATCTCTCCCATAATGAAGGCAAAGCTGTACAGAAATCTTGCTTTCAAAATGAAGAGGGAAGCACCCTTGATCTCAGGCATAAACTCATATCCTGAGGCTGCAGAGCAGATCAGATGGCCCTGAGGGTGCAAGGGGTGCTGGCTGGGTGTGCAGTGAGCATTTGGAGGGCACAGTGCTGGTATGTACATTAGCTGTGCTATTGCTGCTGCTCACTCTGGTTAGCACTGCTAATTGGTTGTAAATGAATTCATACCTTAGTGAACAGTCCTATCAGTGCTGCTTGGCATTTCCAGTGAAGCTGGAGCTTGTGCAAACTCCTGCCCAAGAGAACATCCCTTAAAATCATCCCTGAAATCTCCTATGTCTGCATTCAACATCTCCCTTGGAATCTGTGCGGGGAGTTTAATGGGACCGAGGATGTGTTTGTGCTCATTAAAGGCGAAAGGTTGAAGCTGTCATTGCCCTGAGGATTTAAGACTCTCTGAAGTGAGTGTGAATAATCCCTTTTGCTGTTTTGGAGAGACCCATCAGTTTTGGGTGCTGCAGGTCCATGAAGTGACTGCTGTCTGTGAGTAGGGGTCATTCTGGTGAGACCCATAGGATTTACACATCATCTCTTTTTTGCTCCAAGTCTTTTGGGGTGGGAGAGGGGCTACTGAAAGTCTTGGCACTGATCTGGTCAGGAGCAAGGTGTTCTGGGCCACACTGGTCTGAGCAATGGCATCACAACTCCTGGGGAGGTGAAACCCTGGAGAGCTCCTGGGTCGAACCAGGTTTGGCAGGATCTAGATCAGTGTGGCAGTGGGTGATTGGGACTGAGTCTCAAACCAGGATCAAACCAGTACAGTTTATCCCCCATCCTTTTTCCTCTGAGCAGCTGACAGCCTGTCAGAGCGTGGAGAGCTCTTCCAGGGGATTTGGTATGCCAAGTGGAAAGTTTCCCCAGACCATCCCAATCCCTGGCACCTCTCAAATTCCTACCAAGAGGCTCCCCTACTCTCAGAAAGCCAGGGAAGGAGACGTGAGGAAAGGCTGGGCAGCTAAGCATTTGGGCAGGAAGGCTGCATGACAGATACTGACGAATGCAGCGTGTTTGCCTGGTTATTTTTGTCTTTCCTAAATCATGCTCCGTGTTACATCGTGATCCACTAAGCATAATTACCCGGTAATCTCCAGGCACATGTGGTTACAAGGTGTTTACCAGCAAACTCTATTAAGTCCCTGTGTAATTAAAGAGGAATCACATGGTGCTGCACATCTCTGGGAGCTCCAGCTCTGCTCAGCAGGCGGGTGATTCACCAGGTCTCCCCACCCTGTGGGGCAGGACCTGCTGAGGAGGACAGGGAGGTTTCTTTCTGTGCTGGGAAGTGCAGTGAATCCAGTGGGATCAGCCTGTTGATGTGATGAGCAGTGTGTTTTGCAGAATTTGGGCACCAAGGGAAACTCCCAGACTCACTGCCCACATTTTGGTCCTCTCAATTAATACCCAAGCCTGACACAAACAATCAGATACAAATTGTCCCCTCAGTTCTCTTAGGCAGCCTAGCAAAGGGACAATCATCAGTTGCATTTGCTTTGGTGCCAGAAAATTCAGATCCCAGGCAGCATCTCTTTGTCCTCGGGCTGGTGGATGGACTCTGTTCTCTCCCCAAGCTTCGTTCAGGCTCTCCTGCAAACCCTCTTTCTTGGCAGCTTGCCCTTTGAAGAGCTGAAGCCATGGAAAGTGGCCCTGCAGGCCAGTGGAGTCCATGCTGTAAGGTCAATTGAAGCAACTGAATTATTTCAAGGCCTACCTTGCTCTTATAAAATAAACAGCACATTGTCTAGTGATAAAGTGATGATTGGTTTAGCCAGATAATGGTATTTGTGATGCCAGCAGGCTGGACTAATGACAGGCTGTCCTGGTATCAGCAAGGAGTCCATGTGGTGCTGCCTTTGCTCTCTGCAAAGCTGGGAAGGAGGGAAGGCAAGCCCACCAAGTTGCTGTCAGCCCCTGCAGTCCTATCATGATGGTGCCATAAGGAAGTGGTTGGAATGTCTAATTAGATATTTTTAGTCTAGATACATCAGTGCCTCAGTTGTGAGCACTGCAGGACCTCCAGAAAGTATCC